GTGAGTTGTCTAATAACATGGAAGATTTCATGCATTATTGGTGTTGATGTTTATTGTGATTGACATTGAGCATTAATATTATTTTGTACTTGTCATAGGGCGACGACAAATAAAGCCCTTTAATATATACTGTACTTTTCTCATATATTTGTATATCTCACAACTATATCTTTTCATAGTTGCAAACATAGGCTCCAAATAATTACATCACATTAAAAATGCCAGTATCATTTATCTTTTATAAATTAGATACACTTTCATGTGTAAGTTCTTCACACCAAAAATATTATAAATGTAAATATACAAGTTTTAAAGTTAGATATATAAATACATATAATTTGTGGTTGTAAATTTTCTCTTCTTTTTCATTTTTTAAGTGCGTGTGTTTAAATAAAATCAATCTAGAGTATTGTTTCACTACAATTGAAAAATATCTCCTCATAAGTTCGTCTATATTTTTATACAAATTTTTCTATTAGCATTATATAAGCTAGTCTTCTTCTCAACTCCTAAGCAGCATGGCTATTTGCCATCTTTTGAATGTTTCTGGATGAAAATTTTCTTGTTGGATCAAAAAGATGAACGGAGGAAAGAACATCACCATCTCTTCTCAGACAAAGAAATCAACTGAAAAGGAACACAATATGTACAATTCAATAATATCATTCCAATAGATAAAAATTGAAAGCGAAATTTACATGCATACCACACAATTCCTAGGTATTTACATGTATAACACAAAGTCAATTTTACATTTATAATGCTTTGGTATCAAATTATATCTGAAATGGTATTGCTAGTGTTGGCAAATTAATTTTCATAATTATGTTGTGGTTGAAACTGAACTAGTTCAAATCATGATTTTAGCTACAATGCTCAGCTTGATTAATAGTGATTTGGCCTTAATATTTATATAGCAAACTCGAGATGTCTTTGTTGTTTGACTACCATATTCTACAAAATATATTTATTACAAATAAGATTTGCAATTACATATTTAAATTTTTTGCATATATACATAAATTTTTTAAACAGTTTTACCAAACAGGGGCAGCTTGGTCATTTCTTCAGAAACAACTGACACAGCTGCACCAAACAGACAACCAGCTTCCCCGCAGCAGCTTTCTGAGTGCAGCTGCGCCAAACAGACCCTAAAACTTGGACTGAAGTCTGTCCTTAAGATCTGCTATGTGGTGGAAGTAGTTTCCTATAATCAGAATACAGTCTACATAGAGGAGAACATGGATAGGATGAGTGCTTTGCTTTGAAATGAGTAAGGATGGATTGGATTTACTGAATTCAAATCCCTTCTCGATGAAGAACTTGGAAATAGTGACAAATCATAGTCTAGGAGATTGTTTAAGTCTATATAAGACCGTTTTGAGTAGAGACGCATGATTAGGGAGTTGTGGATTGGCTAAGCCAATGGATTGCTGCATGTGACCAGTTTCAGACCGAGACTCAGGTGAAAAGGCATTGGAGACATTATATTTGAAGATAGGCCTCTGCTTTTGGAATGCAATAGTAAAGGGTATCCAAAGAGTAGCCTTTTTTGTTATCGGGCTGAACATGTAATGTTGTTGATATTGATGCCGAATTATTGTTTATACCCTTGAGCAACTTAACACGCTTCATATCTGGTCGTCGATCCATCAGATTGAATTTAGTGTTATATGTCTATGGACAACCGAGAATTGCTTGATCAAGGGTGGTGGAACTAATTCCGAAGTGGCTTGAGCTTTGAGGGTGTGGAACTCCTCATTCATGGCTTGTATCCAATGTGCCCACTTGATATTCTGAGTATAGTATGTGGGATCAAGAGAGTGTTGCAGCTGGTGACCTTGATTAAGGCATTTTGTAGGTTTTGGACTGCCGCTTTTTATTCAGGCATGCATGGGGTGGGATGGTGGTATAGGAGGTTGTGGTTTAGTGGGTAGATTTTGGGGTGGAGAGGGTTGTATTGAACCTACGGATGGTGTGGGAAAGTGTGAAGTCACAAGTTGTTGAGTGGTTGTAGATTGCAATTGATGGAGAGATTGGTATGATGCCAAAACATTTTTAATTAAGGAGTCGTGCAGTGTTGGTCACAACCCTGACTAACGCGGTATAAATGTGTCCGAGCTAAATAATATTTTAAAAAAGACACGTCCCAAATTAATGAATTAAAAATTTATGAAAAAAAAAATTTAGACGAAAGTAAAAATAATAATATTTTTATGTAAAATTTAAGAAAGATTTGCATATACACCACTCATTTTTTTTATATATATAAGGTGGCATATATGTAAAAATTGAAATTTAGGTGTTAGATATGTAAATATATATCTATATATATACATATACCTATATATATATATATATATATATATATGAAAATGTGTATTTTACTTTGAAATTTGAAAATAGTGGTATATTAGATGTCATGAAAGATTTGGGTGGCATAAATATAAAAATAAAAATTTAGGTGTTAGATATGTAAATCCATAAGAATTTTGTGCCAAAAACTCGTTGATTCTTTTATTTCTTTTAATGAATAATTGATTATGATGACTTAGATTAATATAAGCTTACTTTCATGCATTTTGATTATTTTGAAATACAATTTTATTTATTTTTAAAATTATAAAATAAAATATATGAAATTTTGTACTAAGAAATAATATAATAGTGATAACAATTATGAGACATAATAGGGGATGAGACCCATACATCGGCGTGTATAAGTTGGAGAGGAGAGTACATATGTCAGGAGGTATGATAGAAAAGTAGTTTATGGCTCTTACTTACATTGCAGCTATTAAATGAGTATGGTTTAAGTAATATGCGTAGAGTAGGATCTATATTGACAAGACTCTTGAGAACATCGTTGCCTGATGTCCAAGGCATTTGTACCATATTGGTTGCTTGTGTAGAAAGGCAGCGAGTGCTAAAGGAGGGCTAGTTGGATGTTGTTGTTTTTTTTTTTTTTTGAGTGTCCATCAGAGCTATAACCTCAAAGTACTAATTGTCGAGTATGTGGGTCAGAGGCCGTAAACTCATTGGAATTGAATAAGGTAGAAACTTGGTTGTCCTGAATTAGCTTATGAATTGATAGGAGATTAAGGGATAATGAAGGAACGTACCTTATTTGAGAGAGGAGAAGCTTACAATTAGGAGTAGGTGGTATCTTGTTGTTCGTGTGTTGCACTAAAACTGGCTGTCCATTTTTTGCGAGGACCTATTCAGATCCATTTGTAGTTTTTGCAATTTGAATATGGTTCAAGTTTGATGTGAGGTGTGCTGTACCACCTGAGTCTAGAACCCAGATAGAGGTCCAAGCAATTAGCACCTGGTTGGGAGAAGGATACTCAAGATTAACACGGTGCCAGCAGGTGGCTGCATAATGGCCAGCCTTGTTGCAGATCTAGCATATTACTGCAGGCCTGGAAGCATTGTGGCCTTGGCGTCCGCATGAGGTAGGTAGGATTGGTTGCATCCTCAACCCCACGGGGCTATCGTAGCTTCTAATTGATGCTTGAAGAGTTAATTGGGAGTTGGAATGAGCATTTGATTTAATATTGTCACTAATTAGCTTGATTTCCTCACTGCACAAGACGGAATAGGAATCATCAAGGTCTAGTGGTTGAATTTGAGTCTGAATTGCTGTCTTAAATGTGTGTTCTGATATTGGTAGCCCATTTAGTGTATAGAGGATAATTTCGTCTTATCAATTTTTCCTCCAACTGCAGAAATGTTGTCGATGGGGTTTTGATGGTAGAGAAGTACTGGGTCATGGTTTATTAGTTTGTGGACATGTTATGCAGATCAATTTTTAGTTGTATGAGATGTGACCTGTTAGTGAACTGTAGTCTTTTTGATAAGGTTATTCAGATATCTTCAGTGGTCCTGAGATTAATAACATACGTAGAATTGCTTGAGATATGTTGGAATATAGTGCAAAGGTTAGATTCTGGCGAATAAGGAACCTGGTAGTATATTGTTTGTTCAGGTTTGGAGAAGCAGTTGTGTCAAATATGAATTTGGCTGGGCAAGCTCTGTGAAGGTTCTCATGATTTGAGCTTTCCAAAGAGGGTTATTTTCAGCTGATAACTGATATTGGGGCAGATTTTTTATGTTACGCATGAGAAATTTGAGTGATGATGGAATTGCAGTGGTTTGAATGTGTTCAAGAAATGAATATATTTGGGTTTCAGATGTCTGAGAGTCTGTCATTGGGAAAACAGAGAGAGATGTTCTGCTTATGCAGAATTACAAAGTTCGGTTGCCTGGAAGTAGCAAGGTGGAGAAGGAAGTTTTGGGAAAAATAAATCAAGAAAACATGTTATTGATTTATTAATATGTTTGTAATCTATAAATTCTCAAATTTCTTTGTTTGTCTACATGTAACATATCATAAGAGTTTTATTAGAAAACTGTATACTAACATTCTTGCATCAATAATTCTAAATCATACCCAAGTTTTTGAGTAAAAAGCCTTGATGTTTTGTGAGGTGCACCTGTTGTCAGCCTTCCTTCTGTTTTTTATTACTTAAAATGAGCCTTTTCAAGTTGTTAATAAAGTTATAACTACCCCTTTGCGTTTGAAGTTCAGAAAGACTGATATTTGTGGTCCTAATAATGCTATTCTTGCTCTTTTGAGCTGCTATTTTCTCCTAGTTCTTCATTTATCTTAAAGAAAAGATTATTAAAAGAAGCAGCTGTAGTTTTCCGAATCTGTGTTTTTATTTTTTTGCACCATCAATTTAATCCTAGTAATTTAGAGGGCAGTGACAGAATAAAGTCCCATGAGTAGATAGTCTGGTTGCTTGTGTGTGTTGTGATAAAGAGGGCAATAAAATGCTTGTGTATATTGTGATAAAGAAGGAAATGAAATACATTTTCCATTTATGTTGTACGGTTAATTTCTTTTCAATGATAAACAGAGTTCTTTTAGAAATTTAATTTTCCAGTTAAAAAACCCGTTTGTCTTTTTTACTCTCTTCTGCACTGTTTTTGAGCAGTTTAGCTTGCCCTGGTGAGGGATTACCACCAGAAGTAGTCCAAGACATGTTCAATAACTCAAGCTGGGCGACAAATGAAGGTCTTGGGCTGTGCATCTGTCGGAGAATCCTCGGGATAATGAATGGAGGTGTACAATACATTAGGGAGTCAGAAAGGTGTTATTTCCTCATCACTATATGGCTCCCTGTTTCTCAAACGCCAAAAGTAGATCAGATCTAATTTTCTCTTTGACTTTGGATCTTCTTACATCAAAAATTGGAAAGATTTTCCTTCATTCTATTCCATCAACAAGTCCAGCAAGCTCCGAGGATTTTCTTTGTAGCAGTTGTATAGTAATGTATTTACAATATCTTTTGATATTTTTCTGGTAAGTGCAATCACATTATTCTAATTTTACTCATGAATTGCTTCTCTTGTATAGTGATCTTTGAATTCCCCCCTTTTTTGCTGCATTTTTAGTTCAGTGCACTATAATTGAAGTCAAGTTGATTTTTAAGTATTATACTCCTTGCTTAGGCCTATGTACAATTATAAGCTAAAAATGGTCATGATAGTGACGAGAAATGGAGGACATCACATATCTTGGTCAATTAACCACCTATAGAAACATTTAATGTATAAAATATTGAAAGCAGTTGCATTTGTTTGAATGTATAAAATGAGATAACAATCAAAATTATCTAAAATGAGTATCAATCTCAAGGGATATTATCAATATCACCGCCCTTTTCTGTTTTAGCAGGCTTTTTGAGTCCCATTATTCACGATTTTATGAGGGGTTAAATTTATTTTTTGCAAAATATTTTGAATAAATTTTATTCATGTTAGTGTAGTCTGATCTATTTTTTTTTTTTTTCTATTTTTCAGTACGTTGGATGCATATTTTTACTCAGTTGTATTTGTTGAAACTATTTAAATCTATCTTTTACTACCTTAGCCCATTGAAAATCTTCAAGTTTACTGTCATCGAAAGCATCTCACTAAGAATTGATTTAAGCATAATGCTAATTGGTTTATTGTACTTTTTCTTTTTGTAGTAAAAAAATTTAGTGATGGGCTGAGAGAGGAATGTATTTTCTTTCCTACCTTGATATTAATTAGGGGAAGTATTGAACTCAAGTAAATGTTTTAAAAGAAATAAATGGATTTGATGATTTGATGTAAATGAACTTGAAATAGTTATTATAAAACAAAAACATAATTATGCATCTTATCTAGATTTCCCTATTTATTGTTGAAAGTCAGTTCCTGTGGTAAATAACTATAGCATAAACATATACTTGATTTGTGTTTATTAATTTATTATTCTATATTATTTTCTTTAATATGCATTTCTCACGTTAAGATTTAGATTAAAATTTTGTACATCTCCCTCCAACTTAACTCTGGCATTTTAATTATAACTTTATTACTTTCTTTTTACCTGATTTAATTCAGCTTAAATGTTCACTCTAAATACTACCCTAATATAAATTCTGATAATTTATCATGGTTAGTTTTCTATGGATTTATTTCTGTATTCTCATTTTTACAACGCTTAATTCAACTATCAACAACTTTTTATTGTCTGATGCTTTAATTCATACGATATACCTAGGTCTTAAATTTATACAATATACTGGAAGTTATAAACGTTGCCTCTAAATCTACATGATAGAAGTTTATCTCGTCATATTTTTGAGTCACTTTTTTTTATTGTAAGCACCAAAGCTTAACTCTAAAATTTAATCCCCATCCATAAATTTTATGTAAATTTGATAATTTTCTCAAAAAAGATTTTTAATTAAGGATTATGAAGAATTCTAATGGTATACATAGTTCTTTCTAGGGGGACCATGTCACTTTAAGGTCCTAAAACCTAGGGAGAATTGTCATGTGTTTTAAAGAAAGTCAAGATGAGCATCAGGATGAGCATCAGCCATCCTGGATCCTACGTTTTATGTTTAGAGAAATAAAAAAGATTACGGGACAATGAGGATGAGCGCATTTCACCAATAGGGTGAACCATGTTACCTAAGGTCCTAAGAATCAAATGATGTGAAGACCTCATCGTAAGGTGGGTTTTGACCTTATTTTAGTGAGGTCTTAGTCTCCTACTCCCAGAACCTATAATCTAGTCTTAGAAGTTCCTCCTTGTTGACCATCCTAGCAGACTAGTAATGGAGTCCACCTCCCGTAGAACTTCAAACCGCTTCTTTACTCATTTTTGTGAAGAACTCGCATGAGTGGTTCCAAGCACTCAACTTCTAGTTGTAAGGGCTAAGGACCAGCATGCAGAGGGCCCCAAAGTAGGGCTGTCAATTTGGCTCGTTGTTCGTGAACAGCTCGTGTTCAGCTCGTTCGTTAAGCTTAACAAACCGAACACGAACAAATTTGTAAGCTCGAAATGTAAACGAGTCGAACACGAACAACATATATTATATATATTATTTATATAATAATATATTATATATATTTATGTCTAAGTTTAAACCATAACACCTCATGTGGCAATGTGGTTAGTGTCTTCTTTTGTATAGATTTGATCCAGGTTCGAATCCCACACTTCACATCTATTTTTCTCAATTTTAGTTTAACGAGCCAATTTCGAGCTGAACACGAGCCGAACACGAACACGAATATTTAAATCGAGCCGAACACGAACACACTATTCACGAGCCTATTTCGAGCACAAGCCGATTTTGAACACGAGCTATTTCGAACGAGCCGAACACGAGCCAAGCCTGAGCTCGCTCAAGCTCGGCTCGTTTACCGCCCTACCCGAAAGTAAGTTTCTATAGGATCAAATGACCTTAGGTGAACCTTCGGTGACTCAGCAACGCACTCATTGCACCACACATAATTTTAGCTTAAATTGACTCGCCCGCCGACAAACTCGCCTGAACGACCCCGAATGCTGACACGTCCGGAACATCAACTTTAGCTAGAAAGGACACCCATATTGCTAAGGTTACACGCGCGCACAAATGACACGGAAATCGATGCATTTTTAGGTGCGCGAGTCGGGCTCAACCCAGGTCCAACTCGGGCCCGATTTGGGCTAAACACCAGCTCACGGATTTTGAATTTCAAATTTCAAAATTCAGGCGGATTATTTGAACATGATATTAATTGAAAATAATTTCTATGTTATTACTTTCCGTTTAAGCCGCATACAGGAAAGGAATTTATTGAATTCCCAGCCGAAACTCTCGGGTAACGGCTATTGAATTCGCGGCCTATTTCTTTCTCCCGCACGCTCCCTTCTCGATCCCGCACTCACTCTCTGCTGGATCCCAAACTCCTCTCCTCCGCTCGCTCCCACTCGACTCCCGTATCTTCCCCGTAGAGGATTCCGGATTCGTTCATCTTCCTTCCGCATCGAAGCACGCCTGCTCGATCCCGTTTCTGCGCTTCACCTCTTCCTCCTCTCGCCCACTTCCTTTGGCACTAGAGTCCTCGCTCGACCCCGATCTCCCGCGCTCGCCTGCTCGGTCCCCGCTCGACGCCCTCGCCTGCTCACCTCTTCCCTGCGTCGAAGAAGCTCGATTCCGAATTTGACGCCCTCGAACGTCTCCTGCCGCCGAACAGACTGAGTCGTTCGTCTCCTTCTCCCGATCAAAACTCCTGCGCGTCTCTTCCTCCATCGATCGGAGCTCCAGAGGCCTCGCTCAACTCCCCCCAACGACCCAGAGGCCTCGCTCACCCCCCCCCAACGATCGAAGCTCCCGCTCGCCTCTCTCTCTGCACCGAAGCACCCTCACACTCGCCAGAAGTTTTTTTTGCATCGTCTGCTGCAGTCCCAAGTTTGCGCCCTTTATATAAGTCTTATCCTGAATCTAATAATTTGTTGGCTATTTACACATTCCTTTATACAGATTAAACTCATCATCACCATTATCCTTATACTAATTGCTTTGATTGGTTTTATGAACTTCCCTTAAAATTTGTAACACTCAATCCTTACATATTTACGTATCCAACATTCAAACTTCAATTCTTACATACATGCCACTTATCTCCTACTTGTTTGCATATCTAACACCTCAACTTTATTCATTATGTTTATGGCATCCGAACTTTTTGTATCACATAAAGCTTACTATATTTCAACCTTTAAATACGATATGCACTTTCTCATACATAGTCAAGGTAGTAGGTATGTAAACATAAAAAAAATTGGGTGATGGGTTTGTGAATATGTAGGGATTGAGCGATGTGCATGCAAAGTCCCTTTAATTGCATTTCACTGAAATTGGGTTTTGATATGCAAACACATGTAGCGATTAACGTAGATACTTTGGGAACATTTGTGATTCTTTTTGAAAGTCTTAACTGTCGCCATTCGGATGATTTCACATGTCGTGTTTGGGTGCTGAAATTATAGTTTAAGCCGCTTGAGGTAGTTTACAAGTGTTGAAATTAATGTTAAGGTGTTGTTTGAAGCTGTCAATCGCTGTTGGAGCCTTAGGAGTGTTGTTGGAGCCTTAGAAAAGCTTTGGGAGCGCTGCTTGGGCTTTCAATTTGTCGTTTGGGAGTTGTTTGAGATTCAAGGTTGCTGTCCATTGCTAATTAAGGGCCTGATTGGGAGCTTAGGATGACCGTTTGGTGCAGCTCGGATGTTTAGAATTGTTGTTTAGACTTGTAGGAAGCTTAAGATGGTTTTTGGGTGCTGAAATTGGGATTTGGACTGCTGTAAGTGACTTACAAGTGTTGAAATTAATGTTTGGAGTGCTGTAGAGAGCATGAAACTAATGTTTGGGTGCTGAAATTGGGATTTGGACTGCTGTAAGTGGCTTACAAGTTCTGAAATTAATGTTTGGAGTGCTGTAGAGAGCATGAAATTAATGTTTGGGTGCTGAAATTGAGATTTGGACTGTTGTAGGTAGTTATTTAACTGCTGAAGATAGTCGTTAGCTGCTGTACTTAGTGGTTTGGGTGCTGTCCATTTTTATAGATGGTTGTTTGGGGGAGCTGTTAGCTGTTATAAATGTTGTCGGGGCTTAGAAACTGTTATAGGTCGTTGCAAGTGTAAGTCCCAAATAATAAAACTGGCAGGATCAAACAATCAATTAACATCGTATCCAAAAAAATATAGCTACACCGTAGGATAGTCTGGGAAGTCATCGAGATTTAAAAGGCTCCCCCATAGGGAGCGATCAGTGACATCCCCTACCTTCTCCTTCCTTTTGACTCCTGAAAATAAGTGTTCCGCATTGAGTCATTCCCACTTGATTGAGTCATTCCATTGAGTCATTCCCACTTGATTTTCCTCATCCTATCTTGAAAACCTGAACCTTGAATTCTTGAAGACTAGAACTATTGATCATTATCGACAGTTTTCTAAAGTGACTCCCGTCATTTAGGATGTAATTAACTATAGGGGTTTGTCTCTATAGGGAACTTAAAACTCTTAGAACTCAGATAAAATAAACCATATTTAATATTTGTATTAAATAGGGGAACTTGTCGGTCATACATAAAAGGTTCGCAGACCAAACAGATGTCACAAATTTTTTAGTTTGCAGGATTGGGTTTATCGACGAGATCTATACTTTTATTTCGAGAGGGTGTAGTATTTGCGGTATCGGACACGATTATGCAAACTATTAGACAAATGAGATCAATTTAGTCTCATTTTTCGAAAATTAAAACATACTATTTTTAAAACTCAAACTATATATCTATTATATTAAATTAAATTTCAAAAATTATTTTCAGATATCATATTTTCAAATCTAACGAAAAAGTTGACCGACAGTGGGATGCTAATCAAAGTGTCTCGAAGGCCCAAATTAAACACGTTTTGGTGATTTCTAATGCATTTTATGATTTCCTCTTAACATTTTTTACAATAATGGGATTTAATGGATTTTGGATTTAAGTAAATCTTAAAATGTAGTAAACTTATGAGCCTGACGCTAAAGGTCTAATTAAGGGGTGTTTAACTCTTTATTTCTGCACAGGCGACAAGCAATGAGTTTCCGACTGGAGGCAATAATGATTGATGGGAAAACACACACTCAAGAAGAATGCAACAAAGAGATGAAAATGTACCACCTAAAGGGTTGTAATCATAGGGTCCAAAATTCTAGCTGGCCTTTTTCTTAAGGAATGAGTTGAAAAGCCATGATATGTGGTAAACGGGTCCATGAATGAAAGGTGAGCATTGGTGCGGACGGCGCGTGCAAGCATGCTGGTGCACAAATGGGGGTATCGACTTGTGCATGGGTGCATGTAGTGGGAATAGAAGTTAAACTACATGTGAATGCATACGTGTGGGCTAGAGCAAGAGATGATCAACAAATGATTCTTTTGAGAGCGAGATATACCATCCCAAAATAAGTAAAAGGCATAACTATCATTCATTGATACCATCTTTAAAGTTCGTTCGGTTGATGGCCATTATTGAGAGAAATAATTTTATGTTTTCATTCTTCTTCATCCTCAATTAGTACCAAGAGATTGTCATTATTGAGGTATGATCTGTAAGGACCGGGTTTTGTTTTAATTTGAGAGATTGGTACTAATTTTTTAAACGTTGAAGATGAGTTAGTTTCTGTTGATACAAACTTGATATAATATATTAAAGTTGTGCTAAGAGTTGGTGAAAGAAATCCATTTTAAAAAATATGTTGATCATATATAGGTAAGAGAATATAAGCTTAAATAATAGAACTTAAAGATGAAGAGAATTAGTTTACAAGTTACGTGTCATGTGATAGAGAATAGGGGTTTGTTTGGGATCAATTTGATATATATTTATTTATTTTTTTTAATGTATTTATTTAGTGTTTTTTTATATATATATATTTTATTTCAAGAAATAAATTAATATGTTTTTTGAAAACATACAAACTAATTTATAGTTTTTTTGAATGTCTTCAAAAACATTCATATTTTAATCAAGTATGTTAAACATATTTTGTTTCAAATCAAAATATAATTAAACAAATTCAATATATATATATATATATA